CTCACTCATCAGCAGTGTGAAAATTGTGTTTCTTAATCCAATTTGATATTACGGTTCCTACAATTTTGTTCTAAATTTGAGCTTTAATAAGACTTTGAATTTTGAGTAGCCACGAAGTTTCATCAATCAGTCCTTTATTAATTTATACCGATATGAATGTCATTTAAAATGATATAAATCTAATTATTTTGCAAAGTAATTATATATAATAAAAAAAAAGAGTCGTATTTCGTAGGAGTTTTCATCTCTTTTTATGTAGTAACTATTTTTTTTTCTTTTCTTTTTTCAAGTAGTAACTATTGAAACACAAGATTTTGCTGAAGTTATCTTGGTTGTGTTAAATTATTGTAAGCTCATTAGAAGATATAACTCTGTTAGATATAACATACACAAGTGTGTGCCACTAAATTCTACACAACATAAGGTGCGCTACTGAATTCATGTTGAATGGATATATACATGGTCGTCATTGAGAGGCATGAGCATCCGTTGGATATATCAAATACAAAATGAATTTTTTTTGAATATATCGAATACAAAATGAAATTCTTCGTTTTATTTGATAGTATTATCGAAGTTGAAATTATTTATGTATTTATGAGATCATAACAAAAGATTATACAGTTTAAATAATCTATTAAAATTGTTAGGCCTGTGCGCAGCACGGGCATTATTTATCTAGTATATATATAAATGAGAAAACTCATATGCCTTATACCTTAAAAGAATCTAATGTGTATTGTGGCTCTCTCAATCATCATAATTAATTGTTAATTTGTTATTCTTTCTAGGCGTAATACATAAATATGTCCTTTAACTTGGTTTCGAATTACATGTAGGATCTTCAACTTTGAGTGTCCACAAGTAGATAGTTAAATTTTTATGAAGTTGAACAAATAGACACACGTGTCCTACATGTCATTTTTTATCCTACATGGTGTCCTATGGGTATTGTGTCATGTAGGACTCATGTGTTTATTTATTTAAAAGTTGGATAGTTAAAATGCATGTTCGTGCATTATGAAAGTTGAAGGGTAAAGTTGAAATTTAAAATCAAGTTTAGAATTTAATATATATATATATATATATATATATATATATATATATATATATATATATATATATATATATATTATGCCTTCTTTCTATCTTTCATATTGTTGTAAGAAGTCTAGCCATGTACATAATTACTTATGGCTTTTTTTTTTTGGTTGTGTAATAATGTTTAAGATTTAAAATTTGAAACTTGTTAAGTCAATTATATTATTTCCATAAAATCTCTATTCACTCATTCAACAATTAAAAAAAATCAAACAATAACAATTAAACAACAAATTCCATGTAAAAGAAGAAGAATCTTTATTAAATTCTCAGTGACAAAAGAATTAGTACAAGGAAAAATTTCAGCAAACCCAAAGAATTAAAACATTAAGTGCAATATCTTCACAAACAACACTAAAATTGTTTGTAAAAAAACAATCATTTATATATATTTTTATTTAAAAAGGTGCAAAAATATTTAGAATGAAGAAGGAGATGGAGCAGGAGCATCAACACCATCTTCAGCAGCACCACTACTCTTCAACTTATTGTTCTTGTTGCATAGGTCTGGCAAGTATGCTCCTACACATAAATAAATGCAAAAATGTCGAAATAATTAAGACGGTTATATAGATTAAAAAAAAAGTGATGCATATATATTTTCAGTCTAACAAATTATGCATATTTTGTAATATGCGTCATTTATTAGACAACAGAAGTATATATATGCATCATGTTTTTTTAATGAGTGATATATCTGAACTGAATCGTAAAATTGTTAGATTTACCTTCAGCAACAGCCAAGTTGAAGTAGAGGTCAACAATATTGGGGCATTGTTGATAACAAGCAGGGGCACATAATTTGGAGACAAATTGAGGCTCAAGCAAATCATCAGATGAAATTCCAAAGAAATTTCTATTAAGACCACAAGATTCAATACATTCATCTGTTTCAATGTGTTCCTTCATGTTTTGAACCATAACTTCTGATGTCTTGCATTCATATTCACTACTAATTAAGTCATCTTTTGGTGTTTTTGCTTTTTCTAATACACACCTTTTTCCTGTTGATGAAATTGCAAATGCACAATCACCATTTGGCAAACTCTCACATTTCACCTCAGCTACAAAAATTAGAAAGAGAAGAATTAGATATACTCGTTCATTCTGTTTCAATTTATGTGGCACTACAATTTAATTGAACATATAAAGATTTGAGGAAATCTGTGTGACTATAAACCATTTCAGTAAGGTTAAAAATGAAACCTTGAAGATAAATCATTTTTAATTATAAAAATATGACATATTTTTTTAAGACTAATTAAAAAGAAAGTTTTATATGAATGGTGCATGAAAGGAGATTGATTGACATATTTTTATTATTAAGAAATCAATAATTCTGAATTCTATGTTCATGCATATTAAATGTGCATGAACAAATACGAAATTTAAATAAATACATTATTGTTACGATGATTAATTAAGGAAATCATTATTCTTTTAATTCTTTATTTATTTATGTACATTAAGATTAATGCACATGAATTCGACTGAACACATTATTTTGATAAAGATTAATTAAGAAAATCAATAACTTACTCTTATACACAGCATAAGTGACCTGAAGGAAAAGGGAACATGTCAAGAAAAGGATCAAAGATGATTTCATTGATGAGGCCATTTGTTTTCTCTTTTATTTTGTTGTAAATTTTTAAATTTTTCTTCTTTTTTTTTGTGTTGGGAAAAAAATGGAGGAGGAAATGTTTTCTTGGGTTTGTGAGGTGAGTTTGAATAAATGATTTTCTTGAGTTTATATAAGGGAGTTTAGGAAGAGAGATGCATAATTTAAGATGTAATTTATGACTTAGAAATCACATAATTGTTTGGGCATCCGCTTAATTAGTTCCCTTTTCTTTTTAATTTCTGTGGTGGGGATTATTTAAATATTTGATGGTTTGTTTCCAATTTTTTTATACCAAACTTTGAACTCACATTTTGACTTTTGAGAAATTAAATACTTTTTTTTAGCATATTTAAGAATGAATTACAATATTTGTATCACTTTAAAGATTGTATCAATTGGTATGTATCAAATACGTACCAATTGGTATGTATCAAATATAGCATGTATTTATATATGGACAACTTTCACATATAACAAACATAAAATTCATAATTGTATGTTATAGCAAAGTTTGCATCATTGTGCTCTATAGAATACTTTTATATGATTCGCTATACATATACAATTGAAGCGAATTGTATAAAACGAACTGTATAAAACGAGAAAGAGATAAATTATATACAATTTGAATTGTATAAAATAAGAAAGAGAAAAATTATATACAATTTGAATCTGTATAAAACGAGAAAGAGAGAAGGACAAAAAGAGACTTGTGTAGGGAAGATACAATTGAATCGAATTGTATAAAACGAGAAAGAGAAAAATTATATACAATTTGAATTTGTATAAAACGAGAAAGGCAAAAGAGACTTGGGTAGGAAAATATTTGTATTTTATAATTATAAGTGTATAGACGAAGATATATGTATCTGCATGCGTTTATACAATTTTCTCTCGCTTTATGCAATTAGAAAACACAATTTATACAATTCTAATGTATAAAGTGAGAGAGGCAAGCGACAGTTAGTGAGCAAGAGAGGGAGAGTAGAGAGAGAGAATATGAGGGAGAGAGGGACTGACAACAGTTTACTATGGAACACAAATAAATCAAAGGATAGCTAATATATTTATTTTATATTATTAGTTTATCATTCTATGCAATTATCCCTTTATATATTTCGGGTATATGCAAATAATACAAGTAATACAATATGTATCAACATGTATGTATTAGTGTGTTGTATTGAATACTATCTGTACTAGCATGTATTTATGTATTATGAATGAATAAAAGTAATACAGGATCGCATGTATTTATTGAGTACATCATGTTTTTCTGTATTTTTGTACCGAAAATAAATACAAGTAACACAATATGTATCATGTTGTATTTCTGTATTGCGAATGAATACAAGTGATTCAACTTTTTGTATCAAATTTTAATCATTAGTACAATTTGTATTCGTCAAATACAATCTGTATTTAACATCTCTCTTCCAAATCTCGATCACCTCTCTCCTCTCTTTCTCAATTTTAATGTTTCTCTCCTTTTGTTATGAACTGTCAATACCTACACTATAGCTACAAAATTTCTAATTAGACCCAAATTATAGTCGTCTCTGAAAATTCCTCCAGTACAACAAAAATAATTTTTAGCGGTAATAAAGAGACACAGTAATAAAGTGTTAATGTCTTTATCAGCATTAGTTAAGTGTCATTAGATCGAATGTCGCTAAAGCCTTTAGTGACACATACAAAGAGTACTAATTGCCGCTAAAAGTATATATTTAGCGGCAATTGCTAATTAATTGTCGCTAAAACTAATTTTTTTTTTACGTAGTGCTCTAAAAACATAACTTTGCAGCTGGTAGTTGGTCCAATTTAATTATACATAAATTGTGATAATTAAAGTAGGAAACGAGAACACTTAATAGTTGAAATGTGAAAATAATAATTCTAATATGTTTTTTATCATTAATTCTAAAAATAAATTACAAATTTATGACATAACTTACTTATATAGTGACACCAAAATCAAGCATGTGTGTGCAAATAATAAGAATAAGATAAAGTTGCAAGCCCAAACTAATATGTCACAATAATCCTTTTTAATGGGCCAACACCTCTCAAGTTGTTGAAACTTCAGAATATACTCAAAAATTCTGAGAGCCAGGATTATGTCATTTGTAGATTTTTCAAAGCTTAACCACAAATTTAAGGAAAAGATTTCCATGGAGAAGGATAAGTGGGACCCACTCAACACAAATCTTCTACCAGCCTTACACTTTCTAAGCCCCCACCCCCCCACCCCCTACCCCAAAGAAAACTACCAATGAGCCTCAAAAAACAAATCTTTGCAAACAAATATAACACAATGAACTTGTAAACTGAGAAATTTTAGTGATTTCAAGAATCCTAAGAAAATCACAATGGCAGCAACAGCAACAACTTCATATTTAAGTGCTCTAGACAAAAAGACTCCATTTTTATTTGCCTTGGACAAAAAGACTCCATTTTTATGCCCAAAAAACAGCACAAAGAGAAGGTCATTTAATGGAGGAGTTAAGTGCATGGCAATAGAGACAGCTTCAGGTGTTACACAAACCAAGAAAAAGAGTGGCTATGAGTTACAAACTTTAACAAGTTGGCTATTGAGACAAGAACAAGCTGGAGTTATTGATGCTGAACTTACCATAGTAATTTCAAGTATTTCAATGGCTTGTAAACAGATTGCTTCTTTGGTCCAAAGAGCTGGAATTTCTAACCTTACTGGAGTTCAAGGTGCTGTCAATATTCAAGGAGAAGATCAGAAGAAACTTGATGTTGTCTCTAATGAGGTTTGTTTGTTACAATTCTTCTTATAAATAGCTCAATAGAAACATTAGTACTCTGTCCCTTATCATGTGAAGTTATTTAGATGAGTTTAACTTCTATATACTGACGATCCGAGCACTTAAAATATAACTAGTAATCTGAAAATATACTCATATAGGTCGTTTGGTAGAATGTATAAGAATAGTATTGAATAAGGTGTATTAGTAATGCTGGTAATAGTTATTTTTTTTATCCACTGTTTGGTTTGGTGTATTAAGGGTAGTTTTGTCTAGAGCCATACTTATACATGTATTAATAGCTCTTGTATTGCTAATATCGTGGTTTACTATGTATTAGTTATACACCCTATAATACTGAATAGGTTACTCATACATAAGTTGAAAAACCTACCAAGCAAAGGATTAAATAACACTAAAGTTAATACATGTGTTATTTTCTCTAATACATCCTATCAAATGACGAATTGTGTTCACTGTCAGTGTATATAAGTTAACTCCGATTGGATTTAAGTTACATACATTGATGGTGTGAAGAATTTTTACACTACCTGTTATGGAAGGTCCTTATTCTTTTTCCTTTTTTTTAAGGTTACCATATCAGGCTTACTGTGAAGAGTTAGTTTAATCTGCTTGTGTAAAATATCTATGGAATGTCAATGTGCATAATGTAGACATTCGTAGAACATTAATACACAAATGATCTTGGTTTCTGAAGGTTGATGTTTGATGGATTGAACAGGTTTTCTCGAATTGTCTAAGATCAAGTGGAAGGACTGGGATTATAGCATCAGAAGAAGAGGATGTACCTGTGGCAGTGGAAGAGAGTTACTCAGGCAACTACATTGTGGTGTTTGATCCTCTTGATGGATCATCAAACATTGATGCTGCTGTATCTACCGGTTCTATCTTTGGAATATACAGCCCGAATGATGAGTGCCTAGCTGATCTTGGAGATGATTCCACGGTAATTACCAGACAAGATAACCTTCCTTTGCCTCTAAAAGAGAACTCTTAATAGCTAATGTAGTGTTCTGACTTGTGACAATGTGTTATCTTTGATACATAATGCACCGAGAAGTAGGATCATTCACTGCTATGCTTCTTATATCGGTTTGATGCTTTCAATAGTCAATTGGACCTCTGCTGCATGAATGTAACTTTTCCAGTGTGGTTGTGAGTTTTGGCATAAGCCAAAATCCGTTCATTATATGTAAATAGTTTAACGACCGTTTCACCAAATGTCTGTTGAATATTGCAGCTTGACAATATAGAGCAAAAGTGCATCGTGAATGTATGTCAACCAGGGACAAACCTTCTTGCAGCAGGATACTGCATGTACTCAAGCTCTGTGATTTTCGTACTCACCTTGGGAAATGGCGTTTTTTCCTTTAACTTGGATCCAATGTATGGAGAATTTGTTCTGACTCAAGAAAATGTCCAAATACCAAAGTCTGGAAAGATCTATTCATTCAATGAAGGAAACTACCAGCTCTGGGATGACAAGTTGAAAAAATATATCGATGACTTGAAAGACCCTGGTCCTAGTGGCAAGCCTTACTCTGCAAGGTACATTGGTAGTTTGGTAGGTGACTTCCATAGAACTCTTCTATATGGTGGCATTTATGGTTATCCTAGAGACAGAAAGAGCAAGAATGGAAAGTTGAGGCTTTTGTACGAATGTGCTCCCATGAGCTTCATTGTGGAACAAGCTGGTGGCAAAGGATCCGATGGTCACCAAAGAGTTCTCGATATCCAACCAACTGAGGTAAAAACCCCAATAGCTAAGTTAAATCTGTAACCAACAAGTGAGTATATATATCAGTCAATTGATTTTGGTGTTTCTTTTGTTTCTAACTTTGCAGATACATCAACGAGTTCCATTGTACATTGGAAGCACAGAAGAAGTTGAAAAATTGGAGAAGTACTTGTCTTAATTCCAAAATCAAGACGAGACTGTGAATTTGTAATACTCGAAAGAAATTCTTTTCACAAGAAGTCTAGGAACCAATTGCTAAAGTCATTATGGTTCAAAGCTTTGCGGTGATTCAATTCATAAAACAATGTAAAGGTTTTTCCATATCTAAAATCTGTCATCCTCTTTCTTGAAATGTTTGTTTTTTGTTATTTCTGTTGAGGTATAAAAGGATACATAGACCAACAGAGAGTACCAGAAACTTATGTAGGGTACTAACTTTATACTATAAAACTAACAAAGAAGGGGTGAATTATGAGGAGCTTAGACCAAAAATCTGTAGTAACTAAGCATGCCAAACTTCTCTTTTTCATAAATGACATATTGAAGCCCATTTTAACAAGTAAAACCATGACAAAATTCATCATACTACTAACAATTATCCTCTCTGTTGAATTTTTTGTTATCATGTCATGTGTCATTCAAGTTCAAATAATCCATCCTTCAACATAGAAAAAGTACACAAAGGTGGATGTCAAATAATGATTCGATAACAGACCATAACAATAATCAGATATTTCTCATAATCAAATTTGCTATAAGCTTGGTCATGTCAAATATATTTATCAAATTCCCCTAATATGCTTAGACATAAGCTATATATAATCAATATACTGGCTAGGCCTGCAGCTGTTAATCCTATGGAAATAAATCCTAATCCAGTGCACTTGCACTTTTTTGCTAATGAATGGACAGTTACTATGTAAAACTAAATTTGATGAATTCAGTCAACTGTCATAGTCATCGGTGTAAGTATTCATCGATTTCTTGCACAAAGATCTTCTAATCCTTCAAGCTTCTGATATTTTTAACTGCAAAAATGAAGGCATGGAATTGTATCTTCAGTTTGTGCTTTTTGCAAATTGAAAAGGAGAAAATAGACGGTTGAAAAGTTACCTGGGCTTAAAATTTGGATGCATTTGGTAACTGATTTTGTAGTGGTCAGTGAATCTGAACCTGAATGATCAAAGTGAAAAAATCAAAACTCTTTCAATGACTTCAATGAAACCAATCCAGTCTAATTCATAGTCAAGAATCTCCTTTTACCTAGTACATTCGTGCCTTGCTCTGAAAAGACTTCAGTAACTGTCGAAGAAATATGAGAAGTCATCTGGTTTGCATCAGTATTGACATTTCCTGAATCATCAGGTGACCTGTGCATTAAACATCAAATGGGGACTCAGAAACCATGCCTAATCTTGCATTAGATCAAGGAAACTAAAAATAAATCTGGACGAGGCAAGTAACTGTACCCTGAAAAAGAATCTGGGGAAGAATGCAATGTTGGCTGGCAAGAATGATCAATCCCATCTCCATCAAGGTCAAAATCATATAGTAGTTCAGAAAGATTAAAACCCACCCCTAAAGCATCTAAACTAGACAAATCCATATCAAAAATATCGCCTTCTTTCTCAGACTCAGACGTCGAAGTCATGTCTGGGCCAGCTGCCATTTCTGAATTACATGGGATGTTATCTGAGGCACCAAAATCCAGCCTACTTTTCACTTGATCTCGCCTAATAGACCTCTTCATGTTGTTCTTTACTGGAGAAGTTGTTGAAATGCAATGATTTCTTTCTATGGAGTAAAATATTTGTTTGGAAGGGCTCACTCGAATTGTTTCTGACGAGATGATTGTGCGATTCGTGGCAGTTACAAGAGACGGTGTAATATTTTTGGTGGAAGTAGCAGTTGAACAAACTTCCACTGGAGAGATAGATTTGTCAGTCTGGGATGAAGATGCTCTTGGCGGTGTTTTTGGGCCAGAAGAATTAGTTGGAGGGGACTGAATTTGCTGGCTGAACAAAGACTTGACAACATTAGATCCTTGGACAGGTGTCCTGTCAGATGCAGTAGCAGGATCTGATAATTGAACTGCAGAATTATTCACAATGTTGTTTTGTTTAAAAGAGCTAGTTGGTTGTACATCTGTACTAGGATCTGCAGGAAAGTACGATAATATGATGTTAAATATTAAGGACATTTGACATGAAGTGACAAAAGACCAACTTCAAATGAATTTACCTTTAAGTGGCAGCTGGTTAGTTATCAAGTGTTTACGAGATCTCTTGGCAGTTATGGGAGCTGCAGAAACATCTTTGAGGCCTTTTCTTTTTGAGGTTGATGGAATGGAATTTGGACTAGAAAATTTCATGGTATCTAGAGCAGTGTTTGAAGGCATTGATGCTGACATCAGAGCTCCACTTGTGTGTGCAGAATAATAACCTGATAAAAGTAGTATAGTATAAATCTTCAAGTAAATAGTAAAGTAGATGTCCAAAATCTGGCACAAATCAGTAGACTAGTTAACAAGGACATCCAACACAAAACACAGCACTATCTTTCTATAAACAAATGATGTACTATTTCTTGAATGTGATCATGAGCAATCAGTGACAGCTCCACGATCCAATCTTTCTTTTGGAGGCTTTACCTTTTAGGGATGAAGATAGTTCTGCTTTAAGGCCAAAACTATTTGCTGCATGTCTTCAGTTGGGAACTAGATGCAGTCTAGAAAAACAGACATTATACATCCCATTGCATACAAGTAATGGTGGTCACACGAATGCAAGAATAATTCAGGAGGAATATGTAAAAATATTAAGTTCTTTGCCTGTTATGGTTTATTGAAAGAGAATTAGGATCCAAGATCCTCTGTTGCTTCCACATATTAGAGAATGTGCAAGGATCAAATCTCACTCTAGTATCTAGGAATGGCTTCTGCAGATACATTGCTAGTAATGAATATGAGCGCAATTGAAATTCCTGGGGAGTTATATGCATTTCTATATATCTTCTTATTTTCTTTTTTTTTTGAACTATCACTCAGAACCTACTATCATATATAGTAATGTGTGTAATAGCACTCCAGATCAGCTATTATAAGATCCTAAATCAACCTATGAGTACTAAGAAGTTTGATAGGTAGTTGTTTCAGTTGGATGTCAATCCTGTTACATGAGCCAAAACAATCTCATTGGGAAGATGAATAAGTAGAATGTATATTGACAAAGATAAAAGTGACAGGATTTGCTGTGAATGAAGTCTCACTCATTTCATGGAAGTCCAAGAAACAGAATACAGTGTCGACGAGCTCAGCAGAGCAAAATACATGAGCATAGTTTCAGTGGTGTCTTAGTTAATATGGCTTATTGGTTTATTCAAAGAGTCTGTTATCTGCTATTGAACTGGCTATTGCTCCTTAAAGTGATAGAAAGACTGTCCTTCAGATAGCAGCTACTCCAGTGTATCATGCAAGGACAACGCATATAAAGCAGATAATAATTTCATCCAGGAGAAAATACAAGCAGGGTTGACAATAAAATTAAAATAATACATCTAACTCATTTAAACATACAAGCAGGGTTGGCGATAAAATCTTGGAAGTAAATAGTAATAATCTAACTTGTTTGAACCTTCCATGTATCAAACAGGATAGTATCACATACAACGACATATTAAGCAACTTATACTGAAAAGCATTGATATAAACTAAGAAAATAATTCAGAAAAAAAAAGCTAAACAAAAGTAGAATGCATACCTGAGGTTACTGGGGAAGACCCATTAACAGTACTTGGCAAAGCACCTGTTTTGGGTATAGAAGAAGAAGCACCAACTGAGGAAGGCAGGGTCAGATTCGTGGTAGCATTGTAAGCATTCATAACATGTTGCATTCCGTTTAGTAAGTTCTGAACCCGTGTTTTTTCATGATCCAATCTACACTTCTCTTGATCCATGAACACTTTCTGCTCTTTCAAACTTATGTACTCATCCAACATATCTCCTAAACTCAATAAACTCCTTGGCGCCTATTCATTATCACACACCCAAAAAAAACAAGGATTAATCCAAGAAACAAGGAATCAAGGAGGCATTTGGCCATGAAAATTGCAAGTATTCAAAAAAAGTAGTTTTTTTATAAAGTGAAAATGGTATTCAAAGATTTAAGTCATGTTTGACAATGAATACCAATTGCAAAATTTAGTTATTTTGTAAAAAGAACAGAAAGCAGTTGAATTCCAAAATTTTCACAAATTTTATGATCAATCATGTTCTATTCTGAAAGAACGCCCCTTTAAATTTATTAATTTTCTTGAATAAATACATACATATTATATGATGCACTCAATGAACATAAACCCTAGATTCTAACTCGAATCAATTAGAAACACTAAAAACACTCATAATTTATCCAAAAAAAAAAACATATAAAATACATTCATAAATCATACCTACTAACATAATATCAATTCATTACCGATACATCATACTAACCCAATCCTAATTCATCACAACATTCATATACACAAATTGAAATCCTAAACAAAAACAAAATCAACATAATTTTAACCTATATATATACCTCATTAACAGGAGACTTAGCTAGAAGATGCGAAGCTTCCGATCGAAAAGTTGTACGAGTTTCAGTGAAATTATTGTCAGAGAGGTATCGATCGACGATGAACGCAATCTGCATCGGAGTAACCTTTCCTTTACCGATGTTTTCGGTTTTTCGAGATTTGCTTTGTCTCCCCATTTTCGGTTTCTGCATCTGAAAGAAGAAAACAGAGGGAAAATGTAAGAAGATTTTGGAGGGAAGAAAAGCATTTGATATTTGTAAGAAGTGAGAAATATGGAGGGAAAGGTTAAAAAATAAAAGAGGGAACATGAGACAATTTGTAAAATGAGAAAATGCGCGGGAGTATTCGAAAATTTTAGGAGGAAAAAAATAAATATATAACGTCCAACATAAAAATATTATGAAATGTAACTCAATATATAATATTATATATATATATAATATGTGTATGAAGTATATAAAAGGTGATTTGTTTGTATTAATTTAAAGACAAATTAGATAAATACATATTTTTTTGTTTCACTTATTTTTATTATCCCATGTTATTTTTAACAAATCTTTAAAATCTCTTTATTATTTATTGTATTCGAATTGCATATTAATGTATCTGAATCAATATTTAATAGATTCGTGCTATATATTATTTAGGGCAACTTTCACATATAGCAAATAAAAAATTTCTATTTGTATGTTATATCAAAGTTTGCATAATTGCGCTCCATAACAAACATAGAAACTGTATAATTTGCTATACATATACAGTTAAAACAAATTA